TAATTAGTACCTTGAATCGCACACGGAAGACAACCGGCAACCAGTGCAGGCCGCCTAAAAAAGGTGTAACATGGGAGCACCTGGGTGCCCCCATGATAACCCGCGCAGCCGCATTCTGGACCAGTTGAAGCTTCCGGGTGCTCTTCAAGGTGCTCTTCAATTTCCCCAGGCAACTGAAGGTCGGTCTATTGAAAATGCTCCCCCTCTCTCTCTGCCCTGTGCTTCGCTTGTCCTTCTTTTATTCTCATTGCTTCTACTCATGTCTTGGTTTTGACTCTTTCTTGGTGTGTGACTGTTCCTATCCCACTTTTCCCATCTTTTTGGGGGGGGGGGTTGAGAGGGGAGGGGGAGGGAGACAGACAGAGGGAAGGAGGGGGAAAGAGAAAGATGGAAAGTGGCCTTTAGGCTCTGGCCTCCTGTGTGCAGCTCCTTGAATGAACATGGGCAACCAGATTAGTCAAGTAATGATTAATTTGATTGGCTGTGGCTTTTAAGCAGATGGCTAAATAACTTTCTAATTAATTAGAAAGATGCCTCTGTGAGGAACTTGAAAAAAAAGAAGGCAATTTCTTATAGCCAAAATCAGTAGGCTGCATCAGATGTTTCAAGCATCTGGAGGATGACAACTTGAGAAAGGCTGGACTAAACCAGTTTTCCCTGCAGGATGAAAAACAGGATGAAAAACAGAAAATATTTCAATTTGGAAGACAGCCCAGATTTAAAATCTTTTTTTTTAAATTAAATGTGGGCACCGGGAAAGAATTAGGGCTGATAAACTGAACTGAAGCTAAGCCAACTTCCAGATCTTTGGAGCTCCAAAATCCTTAGCTAAAGAACACTCAGTTTGGGAAGCTGCTTTAAGTAGACGGAGCCAATCTTAATCTGCATTTAAAGTTAATTAACTAAACAGCCAAGTTCCCTGGTGAACAGCTGCAGTCTAGAGGAGTGTGATTCAACCTGGAAGATGCATGGACTTCAATTCCCAGAATTCTACAGTCAGCATCTTCAAGCCATTAAGATTGAGAAACGCCACTCTAGGGTGAAAAAGAGCAAGCTGGAATACTGGGAAGATCTTTTCCCACATGCCTTGTGTGAGTACAGGATTTAGAATTTTACTACAGGGACATCACGTGTTCAATTTTACAATCTTATTCGTCATGGTCATTAAGCAAATCACAAAGTTGTTAAGCGAATCCAACTTTCCCCATCGACTTTGCTTCTCAGAATCCAGCTGAAAAGGTTGAAAGTAGTGAACACATGACCTGGCACGCTGCAACCACCATCATAATAGCAGCCACATGATCGTGGGGACCCTGCGATGGTCGTAAGTGGGAGGACTGGCCCATAACTCACTATCTTCAGTGTCTTCCAACTTTGAACGATTGCTAAATGACCAGTTGTAAATCCATTTCTTTTTTAATTGAAATATATTTGAGCATACATGCGTAACTAAGAATATATATAGATATGTGTACCTGTAAAAAGTGGGTTTTGCCGAAGGTAACTTGGGAGCACCAGCCCAAAGAAGATAGAAAATCCAAGAACAAAAAGGTTCCGAGAAGAATTCAGATCAATGAATTGCAGGTTTGAAAGTCCAACTGCAGTGATCATTCCTAAATAAGAAAGGGACAGGATTTTCAAGGTATTCATATTCGTACGACAGTCTGCAAGTTATTTTAAAGCATGGCCTTGAAAAATTGTCTGGCTACCTGGAAAAATTGGGATCATAACATGACCTAATTTATATGTCAGCAAAATGGGCTAAAAACCCAAAATCTTGATACAGCATTACATTTTTTAAAAAATATAAGTACTTGGACTATGTTAATCATTACACACTAGAATATAAAAACACTCTGGGGATTATTTCATAGGATTCAGAACTTTGTTTAAAGAACTGAATTTGAGGATATATGCTACCTATAGAAAACAGATGGAAACAAAATGATAAACTTGGTTTATTTCTGAAGGGGCAAATAATGAAATTGTTTATGTTTTAAGAAAAAATTAATCTAAGATGGAAAATATGGGAAGAAAAAAAAAGAAATTTAAATTTGTAACAAAAAATAAAAAACTTTGTTTGGGAAAAAAAAGAACTTTGTTTAAAGAAAATGCAGTTTCAGCATTCCACAATTCACATGTACTCTTACAGGCCCTGAACTCCCTGCTAGACTGGGTTGATTTTAAACCACAATTTCTCAACCATGGCAACTTTACAATGTGTGGACATCAACTGCTTTCTTGGTGGGGAATTATGAGCTGAAGTCTGCACATCTAAAAATTGCCAAGATCCCCTACTAAGAGAATTTAATGAGAAAAGGAGTTTAAGATAGTTCGAAATTCCTTCAAAAAGGGGATATTAAAAGCACAATTCACACAAACACAACAGGGTGATAATCACTTACCAAAGAGAGTACAAAACAGAGCTCCGAGCACTGGATCTGGAAGAGATGCAAACAGGGCACTAAATTTCCCAACCGTTCCAAGAAGCAGCATGAAAGCAGCTCCATACTGGATAACTCGTCGGCTTCCAACCTATAAAACATTCATGGGGGGAGAATAAAAAAACAATATTCCAACAGCAACTGGCATCAGATTTGCACTCCGATACAGAGCTTGAAAATCTTTCACAGGAAATGCTTAAAAATAAAAGCAAAATAAGGCCCACTGTCGTGGCCATGGGGAGATGCTGGAGATGGGGAGCCTTGAAAGCAGATAAGACACTCCCTGCCATATAATGATGTGCCATATAATACTGTATGTAAAACCTAGCAGATGACTGGTTACTACTAAAACTTAAAGTCATTTTAAAATGCTATTCTTTTTTAAATCTGGAACCTATGGATTTGCTACTTAATGTTACTAACAGACGCTCAAATAAAAATAGTGCAATATTAGTGGAACATTTAAGCCCTCAGGGAAAACATTTTGTTAAGGACACTGAGCACTCCAATTAGTTTATACAAAAGTAAAGCTTGTTTTAAACTTTTGGGGTCCTTATTTCAGAACAGGAAGTACCAAAAATACATTTTCCACTATATCGACATTTGCGTGAAATGTTTTACTTTGCTTTAGAATACGAGAAAAATTATATAAACTACGGTTACAAATTAAACACCTTATGCAGTTGCAAAACAGATTTGTGCAGCAAAGATAATATTGGCATACGTTTGATCAAATCTTAGCATTATTTACTGTTATGAATGTTTTAATGTGGCAAAGCAGATGCTACTAACAAATCTTTTTTTAGGGCTACAATCTGCTTCACGCATAAATGACAAAATATACTAGCTTTATCATGTCTTCGGCTTGCCAAGAAGGCAACTAGAAAACAGGTTTGTATGCCAGAGAACTGATGCAACAATGACTTAATCAACTCCACTCCCTTCTGAGTTTGATTGACAGGACACCAATTAAAAAGGAGTCCAATTCTTTTCTCTTGTGAGTTCTCTTTTAGTGGCTGGATTAGGCTAAGGAAGAATGACAAGAATGGAATGCAATTTTGTTACACAAATACAGCGGTTCAGCCACAAGGTGAGCTGCTTATTTGGGGCTATCAACAATTCGTATTTTTGACCTAGCTATGATGCTACATGCCTGCCCATCGAGGTAGTAACACAATATCAAATACAAATGCTTCTCTGAATATCCTCTCGCTTAATATAAATATAATTAGGCCATGGGAACAGAAACCAGTCCTAGCCATGCTTCCCCCCAACCCCCCCTCCCCCCATACACCCCGTCAAACTTTTTTCTCCTTTAACACTCAAAGAGATGGATCCAGTAGATGGCAACGTTTGAGCCTGGACTTCCAAAAGCAAACCCCCCACCTTGGAACGAGGGGGGGAAGGTGTAGGTATAGGACAACCTACACAACCTACATCCTATAGGACAACCAAATTAAAGCACAACCCCCTGTTCTACCTGTCTCTTTTTTTAAAAGTAAAAATAAACCTCCCTGTGTGAAAGGACTGCAGGGTAAAATGAAGTAATTGGATAGATTGGATACCTCCACAGGTGTGGGGTATCTGTTGTGCTCTGAATTACAACAGGCCCATAAACCCTATAGAGCAGTGATGGCTAACCTTTTTGGTGCCAAGTGCCCAAAGCGGGTGCGCAAAACACCAAAATACAATGTGAGCACCTCTGTGCATGCGCCCCCCTCATGCATGCATGTGCGCCCCCTGCACATGCGCCACCCCTCGCCCATTTTTGGCTTCCAGGCTGGTACAGGAGGCCTTCCAGGCCCAAAATGGAACGTAAGCATCCCCCATGCATGCGCCATGCCCCCCCATGGATGCATGTGTCCCCTGCATGTGCCCCGCCCATGTAGGGCAGAGACTTGAAGACCGGCTGGCTGGCAGATGGTACGCGCACATGGGCGGTGGAACTGGACTAGGGCGACGGTTGGCGTGCCCAGAGAGAGGGCTCTGTGTGCCACCTGTGGCAGGCGTGCCATAGGTTCGCCATCGTGGCTATACAGAATCAAGGCAGAGCAGGGTTTCAAGACACAAACTTGCAACATGAGATCTGGTTTGGCTCCATGGCCTTTTGGAATATCACGGACTCTCTTTTTTCCGGTTTGCTTTGTCTGAACAAGGGTTCTGAAATATTTGCATAATCAAATTCCATTTAACAAGTGTTAATTAACTCACCATTCTGTTTCATATTCCCTTGGGGAATATGGGGGTCAAGCAGTTTATCAGCCTTCCCCATTCCAATTTATGCCCAGAATTGAAGAAGCCTTCAACAAGGAAGGATCTTCAAATATGCAAGCACAACCCTGCATTCCAAAGATGCGCTGAAGACAAAAATCGCCCTCATTCAACTGTGCGCCTGAGCAGGTGCTTTTCAATCGGAAGAACCCTCGAGCAAGAAACAAACATTGTGCATAGGGTGTTGCATGACTTCAGCCAGCTGTATTCTTTTCAGGGAACCATGATTAAGCAACTTGGGGCTCAGCAAGAGATTTGAACAGTTTATACTCTTAAGAATACGGATAAGCTGATTAAATTTGTTTGCTTAGTTCGTGTCAAATACCTTTGTGATTCCCAAAACTCCAATGTTAGGACTAGAAGAAGTCGACCCATTTCCGGTGCCAAATACTCCATCTAAGACACAGGAAAGGCCTTCTATGAAAATGCCCCTGCGCCAAAAAAAGGAAAATATTAAGATAAGGAAGCAAACATAGAACATAAAATAATAGGGTTGGAAGGGATCTTGGACAGGTCTCACTTCAGAACAAATTAAACCCAAGTGAAAAGAATGTACAATATTTCTGTAAAGAATTGGGATGCAGTGATTAAAGTAAAATGAGACCAAGAGCTGAAACAGTAATATACTTGTAACAAGCACTGAGCGTGATTTTTTAATTGAAACCAGCGTGTTGCTGATTTTGGCATTTTAAAGGTTTGTGTTTTTGTAAAGAGAGCTCTTAGAGACAGGCAAAATATTATTTGGATCCGATAGTTTAGGTTGGAGATGTTGTGCAAAAGGCCAGACGCCCAGCGGTGAGGGTACAGAGTAGTAGCTTACACAGGAAATGTGGAAAACATCAAGGGTCATTGTGTCATAGCTGGTAGACTTGTAAAAAAAAAAACCCAGAACATTTGGAGTTCAGGTACATATGATAAGATAAAGAATTTTAAACCTATATACAACTGGAACCATCTATCCCTCATCTAGATCATTTATGAAGATGGTGATGAGTCCTGGGGCCAAGAATGAACCTTGAGGCATCCCACTGCATGCTTCTCTCCATGCACAGGAAATTCCATTCAGGACTATGAGATGGGTGTAGTTGGTCAGCAAATTGTGAATCCATCTGGTGGATGGATTCTTTAAGATCCCTTCCAGCTGTGGCCTATGTTCTAGTTTCTTTATATATGTCTATTTTCTTTCTATTCCTTTTCTTTTCGTCCATTTCTCTCTTTTCTTTTATTCCTTTATTCTTTTCTCACTTTTCTTTTACTTTATCTTTCCTTTAAGTGGTTTTATTCTGTAAAAAATTCTTCAATAAAAATGTGCTAAAAAGAAGAAAGACTGGGAAAGGACAGGTGGATTAACTGGTTGGCTGTTGTTGTTAGTTGTGAAGTCGTGTCCGATAAATCGCAACTCCGTGGACAACATTCCTCCAGGCCTTCCTGTCCTCTACCATTCTCTGGAGTGCATTTAAGTTCATGTCTTCTGTTTCAGTGACTCCATCCAGCTACCTCATTTTCTGTCGTCCTCTTCTTCTTCTTTTGCCCCATCCTTCCCAGCATTGGGCTCTTCTTTAGTGAGTCCTTCCTTCTCATTAGGTGGCCAAAGTATTTGAGTTTCCTCTTCAGGATTTGGCCTTCTAAAGAGCAGTCAGGGTTGATCTCCTCTAGGACTGACTGGTTGGATCTAGAAAACTCAAGCATGGTTACAGCGGAGGGCAAGGAAAGTACTAGAACATTAGTGGGGCAAGCTGGCACACAGGCCAGGCAGAGGAGAAGAGACACATCATCCTTGGCCTATTCAGCTCAAAAGATCCAGCCCAGTTTTGTCTCCACTGAAGTCCACAATAGTGAAGAGATAGGTTTTGTTCTGACTGACCCATAACTCCAGCCAGAACAGTTCAGCCAAACATCTGAGCCACCATGTGCTCATTTCCCGCACAACATGAAAATGTCCATGTTGTACACCTCACCAATGGAAAAGCTTCCATGGGGACCATTTCAGATTATATGTTAGGCACCGCAAGCTTAAAAACATCTCCCTGCTTGATCGGATCTGTCAGTTGATCCTCTTGCCAATCCCAAAGCAGGCATCAAGCATCCAATAGCAATAAAAGCAGAGTGATCAATAGCCTAATTCAAAATATATTGGCACCACTGGAAGTCTGGGAACTAACCCTGCAGAGAGCCTGGCAAAAGGAATTAACCTAAAAATATTTGTAACAAAAAATGCAGGATTACAGAAAAGCTTTTAATTTATGGCAGCTGAGACAAGCAGACTGTCCCATCCTCTTCATTGCATGGTTTGGATTTCCAAAGACAAATTTCAGGCACCAACAATTGGGGACACTCAATATATCTTCACACAAGATAATTCAACTCTAAGTTCATCAGGACTTGCAGTTGAAGACAGAACAGCCTCTGGTGAAAGGTGCCTGAAATAATTCTAAAACAAAGATTTCAAAAAAGATCTGCAGTGGTTTTTTAATGTCCATGTCACTGGCTGATGCTGCCAATTTCAATGGTCCATGCGCTTACTCCATGTCAATTTATTTTTAATCAGAAAATGAGTGTCTGGCCTGCAGCCAACTTTTCTTTTGGCTCTTTGGCCTACCACACTTTCTAGTATTCTACTATGCATTTTCTATGGTGGGAAAATGGAAGGGGGAACGGTATGGAGTTAGATGATATGTAGCCATAGCAATAGCAGTTAGACTTATATATCGCTTCATAGGGCTTTCAGCCCTCTCTAAGCGGTTTACAGAGTCAGCATATTGCCCCCACAGTCTGG